GTAATGTCATGTAGTGCATAATAACACAACACTTATTTTATTTTTCTTTTCGCGTAAAGAAAAGAAGATTTAGTTTGATGAGCACTTACTTATCAATTAACTTATCAATTAACAGTCTTATTATCAATTAACAATTAACAGTCTTATTATCAATTAACAATTAACAGTCTTATTATCAATTAACTTATTAACTTATCAATTAACAGTCAATTAACAGACATTATTTCTAACTTATCAATTAACAGTCACAAGACCATAGATTGGAGGTTTCTGGACAAAATATAGAACATTTTATAATCAGGATTTTATGTGTGCTTTTTTTATTCATTGTTAACTAGATTTATCATTGTTTATCAACTATTTATTCATTGTTAACTAGATTAACTAGATTTATACATTGTTAACTAAAGAAAAGAAAAAAGAAACATAAATAACGGAACAATTTATTGGAATTTACGTTTCTTTATTTTGAAACATTGATTAGTGACAGTGAATTATAAGTAATGTCATGTAGTGCTTAATAACACAACACTTATTTTATTTTTCTTTTCGCGTAAAGAAAAGAAGATTTAGTTTGATGAGCACTTACTTATCAATTAACTTATCAATTAACAGTCTTATTATCAATTAACAATTAACAGTCTTATTATCAATTAACAATTAACAGTCTTATTATCAATTAACTTATTAACTTATCAATTAACAGTCAATTAACAGACATTATTTCTAACTTATCAATTAACAGTCACAAGACCATAGATTGGAGGTTTCTGGACAAAATATAGAACATTTTATAATCANAAAAGTTTATAATATCCAACTATCTCTCTTTTTTTGTTTCACTATATCTACAAAAAGTAACATTATATGTGTGTAGCAAGGCACGGGAGCGAACATTTTGTTCACTATATTCGGGAGTTCACTATAAACCGTGTTCACTATAGCGGGGTTTGACTATATATCGAAACTAATGATCTCAGATTCCTTAGTATTTTGCATATTTTTATTAATATATACGATTTGCCTTTTGCAAAATAAATCTTAATTAACAAAGATTAATTTTCAAAATTTTTCTTTTATATGATTGTTTTTCAATTTTAAGTTTCTGACACCTTTTTTTATGATCTACTTCTATAAGAGGAAAAACATTATATGAAAAAAAAAAATTTCATAATTTTAACTCCGAAGCATGAGTAGATTTGAAATATGTCATTAAAAAATACACAATTTTCGAATCTATCTTTACAAATAAAAATAAAAAAATTATACAGCGAAAAGGTTCTGCTTTTTATTTATGTTTCAAATAAATTTACTATTTCAAAAATTAGTAATTTTTCCTCACCAATTTATATGAATTATTATATGAAATATTTTAATTATTATTTGTATTAATTTTCATTAATTAATTACATGAATTGTTATTTATATAAATTAAATGACAATGCATGAAAATGAAGAGAAAAAAGACATACAAAGTAAAATAAAATAAAAATTAATGAAAAATTAGTATTTTTGTGATTGTCTTTTGTTGTCGATTCGATTATTTAAAATTAGTGTCACATGTCAGTTGAAAAGTTTCGTGTGCAGTGAGTGAAAAAATTGAGATTTTGGAAGTGAGTACAAAAAAAATCAAAATAAAAAATGATATTTTTAAAAATCACGTTTTGTAAATAAAAAATAAAAATTTGAAAAGCGAAAAACATGGAGCGCATGGAATACATAACAGTACATATACACATACATATACACATTTTCTTACTCATACACATGCACAGCCACATCCCCATCCACATATACATCCGCATGCACATGCAGAAACATATTCCACATACAGATACGATTACAATTACAGATATATATACGCATATTCTCATGAGCACATATACACACACTAATATAACATTACTGTTACGTATTTCATGCGCCCCACGTTTTTCGTTTTTCGAATTTTTATTTTTTGATTATTATTCTTCACTACAAAAACGTGATTTTTTAAAATATTTTTTTTTTATTTTGATTTTTTATTAAATTTTCTATAAAAATTAAAATAAATTACGTCAATAAATTGCATAATAAATTATTCAACTAATATAAATATATTTATTTCAATTAATAATCATTATAAATGATATAAATATTTCAATAATTAAGCTTTTTTGTAAAAATATAATTGCAGTTCTTAAAAATGTCTTCGTATTTTTTTATTTTTATGTTTTGGCATGTACTTTGTTTTCCTTAACTTCAATACATCTCTTTTTTTTCTTCTCTTTTTTGATTTTATTAGTAAAAAAGCATACAAAAAATGACACAAATGAGTTACTTTGTTACAATATTCACTAATGATACTGTCACTCGTCAATTCGCGGAATCTGTTTTTGACGGATAATTTTTTAAGTTAGAAAATAATGTATAATATTTATTTTTTGTGTATTTCAAAATAATTATCAAGTTATTATTCATTAAAAACTTCAATTTTTGCCTTGAATAAATCGCCAGTTTCTATTCATCCCTCAAACGAAGTGCTATGTTTTCTATAAATGTTTGCTTTAATTTTAAATTTTTTTCGACTTACTCTACATCAATCTTTGAGTTTTAAGAAGCTAAAACTTTAAGTTTAACTTCAACCGTAGATAACTAAACTAATTATTTAGTTAACAGATAACGAATTTAAAAAACAAAGTATATTTTTATGTTTCTTTTATTCATTCCGAACCAAATTAGCGTAACTCAAAAATAGTATTATAATACTTCAATTAAAAAATATAAATATATAAAAAAAATGTTATTTGTACTCTTGACAGATGTTAAAAATGTGCTCTTTACAAACAGCCTTGTTGCAGTAGTTACATATTCTGCATTCATTAGATGGACAGAATAAAAAAAATATATCAGAATGGTAATAAAATGCAGGGAAAACACCGATTATGGTAGTGATGCAAACGTCTGCATGGTATAATCAAACACTCAACTGTTAGACAGCGATTATAGCAAATCTTGTGGTAACAGGTGCTTATCACCTTCGAATTACTCCTTTTACTAGTTATGGTGGTACTGAAAATGATGTAGTGCGAGCTCAACAAGTCTATAAGACAAAGGCGTATTTATCTAGGGTTAATAACTGAAATAAGAATTTTATCTTTTGAGTAATAACTTCAAATGTGCTTTAAATAATATTTTATTAGCTGAATAGAAATTTATATTTTAAATGAAAGTGTATTTTTTATTGCGTTTTAAGCGTCGAAGAGGGAATTTTTGAAATGTTATTCGCTAACGCTCTTTTGGCAATTTTCCAGCTACTCTTTCTTTCTTTCTTCTTTTTTTTGGCTCAACCTTATATTTAACTTATATTTATATAAATTTTCAACCTCAGAACCAAAACGAAATAGTCAAAATTGTTTACATATATTATGTCGGAGCTTAAAAAACTATGTGTATTAAAAAATCCAGCCTGATTTGCGAGTTGCTCTTTGGGTGACTGCCTTGAAAGTTCAAATTTTGTTAAATTATATAAGGTTAAATTATAAAAGGTTAAATTATGTAATATTTTATTTTTGTTATTTTATTTTATTCATTTATTTTTTTGTTTTTGTTTGTTTGCTTGCTTGATTAAAAGGTCATTTTTGCACAGAGTATTTTTGTATTTTAAGTATAATATTTCTAAAATGATTTGAAAAAGAAAAGAAGTAGATTTGTTCAAACTAAAAAAGAGTATTATATCTGAGAATTTCATTTACTTTTTAGAATACGTTAATATTTGTTTCCAAACCAGTCATAAACGAACTACAGTTATAAAATTTATTAAATTATTACATAAAGACGAGACATTCGTTTGGATTTTTAATGGATAACTTTTAGTATAAAAGATTTTAATAATTCAAAATATTCAAAAGTGGTCTCAGGTTCCTTTCATACTGATCAAAACAATAAGTAAACAACATTTCTAGTAACTACAAACAAACCTACTACAAACTAAAATTTCGAGTCTTTAAATAGTAAAATTAAATTATACGAGCGATAATTTCACACTTTACAAATTATTTTATTGTAAATATATATTTTTATTTTTCAACTCTTTACATTAAAACATGAAAAATTAAGCACGTATGTTTAAAATTCAAGGTTATATGCAGTTTCTATATAAGTTCAAATTAAGCGCAATGATTTTTTTTTTAAAAAAATACGTTATGCATCATTTTGTGTCTTTTTAATTAAAATTATATTTTTTAAAATGTACAAAATTATTTCTTATATTAATTGTTTTCATTAGTCGAAATCTTATAATTCTTCTTGATTCTGCTTACAAAATTGTAGTATTTTAGAAAGTTATGCGATTATTCGTATTTTTAAAGATTCTGAATCCCCTTTTATGAACTTAATTTTTGAAAATAGATGATAATATAACATCTTTTGTTACAACACAGTTTAAGAAAAATTAAATGTTTTAATCTTTCGTAAAGTATTTCTTAAAACTTTACAATAGCTTTATTTTTTTATTGGAAATAAAACTTAATTTTAACTTTTTATAGATTTCTTTTAAATACACAAATAAATATCCTACGATTTTGAAATTTTAACATAGTTCGTTAGACTTGATGATTGAATAATAAAATTTTTTAATGATTGAATAAAACTTTTTTTTAAGACATTTTATCTTAGCTATATTTTTAAGTTATTAAAAATTATTCTGATTCTATGCTAAATATATTTTTGAATGAATTCATTATAAACCTTAGGTACAAACTGAACTTCTTACAAATTGAAATTAAAATTTTTACTTATTTTTGTTACAACTTTTGCACATTTTATTATATTTTTTTCTTAAATTATTAAAATATAATTATAATATTTAAATATGTTTAATTAAACTTCCTCAATAATGATTCCTCTGATTTCGATATTGCTTAATGCTTACCTTCACTTAAATATTATTATACAGGCCCGAAAACGCAACATTTAAATTTTTTTTTTGGAAAGGAGCCTTATAATATGTATAACACTTTTTGTATGTATAACTAACCTTCAATAGAAGTTTCCCTCAGTATTTCAATCGGTACATCTGCAGTGATATCAAATTGGTGGCGGCATTTGAGAGTTTTGTATGGACGCTCACTGACACTCCTTTCCAGCGTCCTAGCGAGAGAAGATACTTTCAATCTGTAGCTCCATGTGAATAAAAATATTATCCACATGGTGATTAGAATGAAGATGAGCATAACTGTAGTTGTATCAGAGCGTTTTACAACCTACGCAAAAAAAGACGAAAGAAACAATGAATTATTATGTATTAGAGGAATTTAATTGATTTTTTTTAAAATTTTGCGGTATTAACCTGTTGCTTACGGGTGGTACAACATGTGGACCATTTATGATGGTGCAACATGGTATACCGTAAGCAAAGGGTTAATATAGCTTTTAATTTGAGGTAGAGTTTCTACATAAATTATTTCCCCAACAATTTGCTTCATAAACATGTATTAGATTCTGAATCAATTAATAATTTTAAAATTTTAACCCTTTGCTTACGGTATACCATGTTGCACTATCATAAATGGTCCACATATTGTACCACCCGTAAGCAGCAGATTAAATATCCTAAATCATTGCTATTAAAACGGAATATAAAGTAAACTGTCAGTGATTTTAATAAATGTTTATAAAGTAGTTGTAGATTTTTTTTAATTTGAAATAGGATGTTTTTATTTTAGTTGACCATATATTGCATAAAGTAATTTTTTTATTCAAATAATTTTCTAAATCTCATGCGTTTAAAAGAGTTATAGCTAGAGTTATATTTTTGTGGAACATTTATGCGATGTTTGAGCGCACAGATGCATAGTTATGCAAAAGATTCACATTTCCTTCCATTTTAAATTCTAATGTATATATAATAATAATGTATGCATACTTAATTCTATTTTATTTAAGTTTTTAACATGTTCTAGTTGTCACGCTTCAATCTTTCTGAGAAGCCGTATTTTTCAATATTCTGATATGAAAATCTTAGACACTATCAATCCGATTTTAATTTGGTATTTTGAGGTGAAGAGGGAATAAAACAATTAGCAGAAATTCGGAAAAATATTCCTTTATTTACCTATATTTAAGCTGTTATTAAGCTTCAAAATCTTTAGTTCGTTGAGACACTTTTTCATTAAGATACTTTTTGCTTTCGTAATATAAGTAAGAGAGGTTGTTGAAGTCAAGAAGACCTTGCATAATTATGTCTAACAATTCAAAAAGACATATTACTTCGAAAGATGCTTTTGAACAATTTTTATTAGGTGTATAGAATTTTTAAATATTTAGATACTAACTAACTTTCTGTATAACAGTATTTTATTTTATGAACAAATGTAATTAACTAATTACTTTCTGAAACTGAATTTCTACAGTTTATTAAACTTCATGCTCTAAAAAGTGAATTCTAAAAAGCTTATTATTTCGGGTATTGTCGTGAGAAAGACACATTCAAATATGACTTTCTTACGACGGATTTGAATTTGCGACCTTCAAAATAGTTTAGGTAGGAGAGCGTATTTCCACTTATCACCAGAACCTTTTAAGAAAATCGAATCATTTTTAAATCTAATTAGAACGTTTATCTAACGATAATAACACGTGAAAAGTAATTTATAATAATTATCCATTGTTTCGTATTATTTAACAACAGAGGAAAAAAATTGCATTTCAAGTTATTCAAAGTCTTACATAATTTTAAAATCTTTAATTTTAAAACTTGAAATTCAAAATTTGAATGAAATCGGTCGAATAGATTCTGAGTCAGCCAACTTCAAAAAGTCTTATAGTTAAAATATGGCTTAAAGTATTCCATCGATTTCGGGCAAAATTTTGTACTTTATGATTTAAATTTACTTACTCTAAAATTATGTAAAAATTTTATAACCAGCCAAAGTATTTCGACTATTATTAAATTATTAGTCGAAATGCTTTTGAATATTGTCATAAGAAAGGCTTATTATTATTAGGAAAAAATAATCATTGATCTAATTATAGGTCATAGTCTTTAGTCAACAGTTTGAAAATAGTCTTGGAAATTGAAATTATTTTTCGCTAAACGACTTCCGTATTCAGGCATAAAAAAAATTTCGATTCATCAAAACAGTTATCAAGATATAGTGACATACGCAAAGAAATTAAATTAACGTTAAAGTGTTCAAACTTACTACTAATCTCTTGGTTAAATTAGTATACTGAGAAAAAATATGATCAAATATACCAGAATACAGTAAAAATTTACTGTGTTTCTGGCTATATGAGAGCATCAAAAATCTCGGTAATTTTTACCGAAGCAATTTGGTATTGATTTTTGTAAAATAAGCAATAAAGCATGGTTTTATAATAAGTGATAAAATTTGGTAATCTTATCATGAAACCTTAGAGTATGGTATTAAAACTATATATTTGGCTAAATTTTCTTTTCAGATTTCTATTTTTTTCTACTTGTGTGGTAATAACTAGAATTTCCGGTGAACCGTTACTATATGAACAGAAGAATTACCAGAATTATTAATGAAGGGTTTAAATACCGCATATTTTGGATACAGCATATACCGCTATTTTGGATACAGCATATACCGCATATTAACCAGAATTATGTTCTTTTTTAACCAGAAATGCCATTACTGTACGGTAATTTTATCAGAATTTTTTTTCTTCGTGTAGATTTGTAAAATAATCATTTGTTCAGAGAGAAAATAACTTATTTTTATGAATGGCACATAACTGAATTCATAATTCTTTTTGAAAATATATTAAAGTTAAATTAAATAAAATGCTTGCGCCAATATTTAATTTACTTGGAGTTTTTAAAATTGTCAGTCTTAATTACTTTAAATTTCGGGTAAAGGTTCCTAAAACACATTTCTAAGGTATAGACCACTCCTTAACTGATTAAACTAGCATTTTTTTTATTTTAAGGCCAAATTTTTTATAACACTAAGCGTCTTTTAAATAATTTTTGACAAATGCGTTGAAGTAATAGCTGTAAGTTATTATTCTAAAGTTATTATTTTCATAATGCACTGTTTATTCTCTAAATTTATTATTTTCAAGCATTATACAGTAAACAAAATTATAAAATATGAATTTGTGACATAGTTATGCAATTTAAAAAATATTGTTTGTCTCCTTTTCTTATCCTCTTGAAACTTTTAATTTTTTTCCAAGTTTTAATATTTTATAACACACAATATATGCAGAAAATAAAAGGAAAAGTTCGAAACTAAATATTTCAAGATTTTGTATCTGTAAATATTCTAGCAACTTAACTATGTTCATAAAATGCCTTGAGCTTTTCACAGATTTTATTTTGACATCAAGTTGAAAGAAATATAGGTATTTTTCTCGGAATAATATAAAAAACCAAAGGGAATAACATCTACCTAGAACGACTTATATTTTGCTTTATCTTGCATTGCTCGCGTTCTCTTTTTGACTCGATAACTCATATCAGAATCTCAGATTAAATATTTTTGTGATTTCTTTTCATCTCCCAAACTCCCAATTTAAGTGTTTTGTAAGTTTGTTTGTTAATTTACGTCGCGCTAGAGCTGTACAATGGGCTATTGGCGACGGTCTGGGAAACATCCCGGAGGATGATCCGAAGACATGCCATCACAATTTTGATCCTCTGCGGAGGGGATGGCACCCCTGCTTCGGTAGCCCGACGACCTGCGCGCGAAGTCGAGCACTTTACGGTAGAACAGTTTAACGAGGACCAATACCGCACACCCTCGGTCCCTACGCAGACTGATCCAAGTGGTCACCCACCCGCACACTGACCGTAGCCAGTGATGCTTGACTTCGGTGATCTGCTGGGAACCGTGTCTTAATGATCAGTCCACTGCGGGACAAGTGTTTTGTAAGAGAAAAGTAGATATTTAATTTTGAATGACTCAGTTTTAAAAATTCCAGTTCGAATTATTTGTTAAATTTGCAACAAGGTCTTCATTGGCCTACTAGAAATATTTATTTCGAAATTTTACAAGAATACGATAGAAACAATACAAGTCAATACAATCTGTCTTTCTCAAAGTAATACCATTTTTTCCAGCCCATTAGCGGAGCTAGTTAGTGTTACAGAGGAGAGAGGGTCATTAATCAAACGTCAATGAGAAAATTCTAGAAACTTTTAGTACATTGTAGTTCACATTGTAACAGTTTCAGCAAAAACCAAACTTGACTTGATTTGAATATTATATAAAATTTCTAACAGTGTACTAAAGTACACTGTTAGAAATTTTTCGATTAAAGCGGTTAAATAACTATTTATTTAATTGATATTTTACCGTATTCAAACAAAACAGTCAAATAAACATAGATAAGATGGTATTCAAACTGTTAACTGTGAGAAAAATCGTTCATTAACTGATTTCACCTAATACGGTTAAACAATTAGAATTTTATCGCCCCACCTATGCAGTTGGGTATATATTATAATCGAGATGACTAATCTGTCAATCTCATAACTGACAGAACAGGGGTTCGAGTCCCAGTGTCGATACTACTATATTTCTTCCATTCCTTTCAAGAATGAATAGTTTCTAGTATCTTGCACTACCCAATTTGTGACTCTGGTCTATTAGAGTACTATACTCTCATTTGCGTATAAATGGCAGCACTATAAAGCTGCTAAACTAGTTAACCTCATCCAGTTAAATTTCTTTTTTTTTCTGATTTTGAAACCATGCTAGTTGTAAATGGTTTCAAAATCGTAAAGATTAAAAGTTTTCTTTGCTGTAAACTTTACTGTCAATTGGATGGATAGACTGCTGCCGGTTATTTTACCATAATTTTAGAATGAAAATTCTAACAGCGTAGCCAATACTGTTAGATTGCTGCTTTATTCAATCTCAATTAAAATTCTTACAGCGTAGCCAATACTATTGGATTGCTGCTCTATTCAATCTCAATTAAAATTCTTACAGCGTAGCCAATACTATTGGATTGCTGCTCTATTCAATCTCAATTAAAATTCTTACAGCGTAGCCAATACTATTGGATTGCTGCTCTATTCAATCTCAATTAAAATTCTTACAGCGTAGCCAATACTATTGGATTGCTGCTCTATTCAATCTCAATTAAAATTCTTACAGCGTAGCCAATACTATTGGATTGCTGCTCTATTCAATCTCAATTAAAATTCTTACAGCGTAGCCAATACTATTGGATTGCTGCTCTATTCAATCTCAATTAAAATTCTTACAGCGTAGCCAATACTATTGGATTGCTGCTCTATTCAATCTCAATTAAAATTCTTACAGCGTAGCCAATACTATTGGATTGCTGCTCTATTCAATCTCAATTAAAATTCTTACAGCGTAGCCAATACTATTGGATTGCTGCTCTATTCAATCTCAATTAAAATTCTTACAGCGTAGCCAATACTATTGGATTGCTGCTCTATTCAATCTCAATTAAAATTCTTACAGCGTAGCCAATACTATTGGATTGCTGCTCTATTCAATCTCAATTANAAATACAAAGAGTATAAAAATAAGTGGATACAAAATTATAAATGTTAAACTACATTTAATGAAAATCATTACGTTTATCAAAAACGCTTTATTTTATACGGGAATGCAGGTAAAATATTAAAATATGTGAATAGAATAAAACTTACTACTTTTAAAAGTTCTTCAAATCTGTCTTGAATGGTGCCATTTTCAACGATTTGGACATCTAAAAAAAATGAAAATTAAGCATTTATTTACCGCTAGATTCAATTTTGTTAAATATTATTACACGTAAATTAAAGTTAGTAAATTAATGAAAACAGACTTAGATTAACTATATTGAGATTTATTCACACTTTTTGTGTCTCTAAGAGCTAAACAGAATGACAAGACAAAAATTTTTACCAATCACTGTGCAAAGCTTTCTCCAGTGATTAAACTTAGGTTAATAGTATTACTACTGTTAAGTTATTGCTAAATGTCTTGAAAGTAAAACTAAATAAAAAATAAGAAACAGCTGCTTGAAAACTCTAACACGTTATTTATAATTTATAGTAACATGCTGCGTACAGGCATATTTTTTTTCGATTGTCAAAAAATCCAATAATGCACAGAAAAACACATTTTTTAATCCTAATAAATAATGGTATCAACTAGCATTGTCTGAAATGCACACTTTTTGACCTGCTTATACGGATAAGAATGAAGAAAAGTTTCAAGGAATGTTTCCAGTATTTCACCACAATAATAACGTAAATCAACAACGAATTTCACAACATCGTAAAACAGTTTAACAACAGTTAATAATTAAGACAATTTACGGCAGTTTTCTCAGAAGCAAATATTCGTCCTTACAAAATGTATGTTTGCTTTACTGATAATTATATTTCAATTTTTAAATATTATGTTAATTGTGCCACAATTTTATAATATTTAATTTCTTTCCACGTTTGTTCTGTTAAGCCTAATAAGAATTTGCTTTAGTAGTCTCTCTACGCTACGCGTAATTTACAAACTAATTCTATTTTTAAAAAAATAGTGTGTGCACCCAAGCTTTTATTTTAATATATATTTTTTTATTTAATATTATGTGTTTTACACCACCAAATGAGGTGTTCGGCATTTAAGTACACGAGGAATTATCATAGTTAATTTTTTAATTAAGAAAATGATTGAAGAATTCTAGTTTTTTATATTTTCTTCTTTTAACAGGGGGCAATTCAAGTCTTAACTGAGCAGCCCCAGTTGAGCATTCTATTAATTTGTTACGTAATCTCTTTCTTGAATTCTTTTTTTTTCAATCTGCTCAATGTAATAGAGGGCGTTGTTTTCTTTAGTTTTAGTGTTTCCTTTTCATTCAGTGTGCTTATAAAATCGATGTTTGACCTGGTTAAAGTGAGTTTTGAGTTTTTATTTTTTATTTTCTGATGAATTTGTTTGAGTTTCTTTTCTAAATTGGTTCTTTGTATTTCATATTTTTTCCTGGACTTCTATACAAAACCTTCGGGGTACTGAGGGTGTTACTTTAGGCATTTGCCTCCCTCTCAATATAAAAGGTTTTGTCTTATGGCTACCGGGGCCGATACCCCCTGAAGACGTTGGCTTCGGTGGTCATATTTTTATTTTTATTTTCTTCGTTTCCTTTATTGCTACATAGGTATTTCACTACACATCATCTAGTGTAAAGAAGTTGCGGCAATTTTTGGTGTTAAGATAAGTTACTATTCTTACACGGTATATATAATTACATCTGTTTTTTTCCCCTTTTGAATTTCTTCGTATTTTATCGGAAAGTACATAAAACGATAAAGTTTATATTTCAGTAATGAATGATCGATAAAAATAATGAATGATCAATTAAAAACGATACTGTTGAAAGGTTTCGATTAAAAATGCAAGAAATGAAAGATAATGCAACTATTTTAAGACAAAAATCAGAGTTTCTTTGAAAAAAGAGTCAAAATACAAACCCTTAAAGTCAAAGTATCTGTGTTAAAGTAAAGGTAAAAGCTTAAAATGCTTACACATAAAAATAACAGTATATAAAATCTAAGTGACTATAATGAGGAAAACTATCTTTTAAAAAGAAAAGGCAAAGAGTATAAAAAGAAGATATTTTATCTTGAAACTATGTCCAAATTTAAGAGATTAAAAAAAAATCTAGACAAAAATTTTTAAAGAGAAAAAGAAAACACATGTAAATAGATACAAAAAATCTATCTAACTTACCACTTAAGGAAGAAGTAACGTTCATAAAATCCATTTCTATAATTCCCATGCCTTATCTTTTTTGTCCCTCAGCAGAACTCTTATATTGGCAAATTTCTTCAATATTTTACGGGGAATACTACAAAATAATAAATTAATTGCATTTGATGTAAAAATACTCTTAGAGTTGTCTAAGGCTTCTGTAACAACTACACTTAATATTAAATTACTATTAAGTGTAGGCGTCAATTAATATCTAGACAAAGAAAGAAAAAAAAACTCTCATTTCAACATTGACTACAAAGAGGGGAAAGCCATGACGTCATTATCAGTTTCAGGTGGATGAGAACCCTCTTGCACTTGATGTAAAGGTGGCCGGTAAGCAATGCTGACCACATTGTAAAAATCATGCCGTCAGTCATGAAATTTGGAAGCATTAACCACCATGACCCTTTTGACTCCACAACGGGCTGTTGCAGGAATAATTTTTTCGGAACGGCGGAACTGAAAACTTCAAATCTAGTTTTATTGGTGAACAAAGCCGAGATATGATTTAATATATCCCCGGGTTTCCTCATGCAATTAAACTGGTATTCCGTTTTTTATTTTGCGCACTGTACAAGGGAATTATTTCACTGAAAAAAAAAAAGTTAACTACTGAAAAAGTACACTAAGGAAAGAAGTAAACTATTACCTAAACTACCTAAGTGAAAGTAAATCAAAACTACCAAAATATGGTAAAATTTAAATTGTTTCTAACTCTATGGGAATCACAAAAAGCTTGGAAATTTTTGCACTTGCTAATTGATTTGGTAAAATCAGTAATAAAATATATTGGTAAACGCGGTAAAATTTGATAATTTTTTCATGATACCTTAGAGCATGGCATAGAAACTATTTATTCTATTAAATTTGCTTTTCAGTTTTGTATTTTTTACTAAATGAGTGGTAATAAGAACTATAATTTTTAAAACCAACATTTTCGGTAAGCCGTTGCCATACACACGAAAAAATTAATAATTGAGTAATTTAAAAGGCGTATATTTTTATTTCATTAACCAAAATTATGTTGTTTTTTCTAACCAGAAATGTCATTACCATACAACACGGTAATTTTAACAAATTTTTTTTCTACGCGAACAAATAATTAATGCTTCAAATTGATTCACATATTTTATTTAATAATTTAGCAACTTAGCTTGAAAATTATAAATTTTAAGATAAGTCATAATTAATAGCGCGTATTAATAGCTTTAATAAACAACTGTGTTCTAATTGAAATTATTAAGTTTCTGATAAATTATAATTTAAATATTGTCTGAATACAGATTTAGTCCACTATGATTTAGTATTTAATGCTATTGGGATAAAATTAATGCAAATGCAGTCCTTCTCTCTTCCATCTTAATAATGCTCTTAACATATTTAAATACAAATTGTAAGTAGATAATTTAGCTTACCAATCAGGCTTACTTTATTAAGAGCAGCGAAATGAATTTATTTTTAAAACAGTATTTAAGCATTTAATCTTTTAAAAGCTGTTGCCATATCTGAAGAATTTGTTCTATATTAATGTAATTTACTATAAATGTATGTTTAATGTGCTTTAACAAGAAGTTTTCAGGACAAAGGTGTTTTTAAAATTATTTAGCATAATATTTCAAACTTAATTATTGATTCTATTTAATTTTCAAAGTAAGCTATCATTCTCCAAAATTTAAAGTGTTTCTGTCTCTATGGGAACATCAAAAAGATGGGTAATTTTTGCCATAGTGCTTTCTTAATGATTTTGGTAAAATCAAAAAAATATATTTTGATAAAATTTGGTGAGCGTGGTAAATTTTGATAATTTTATCATGATACATTAGAGGGCGGTATATAAACTATTTATTCTGTTAGATTTAGTTTTCAGTTTTGTATTTTTTTTTCTTTCTAAGTGATAAGAACTGTAATTTTAAAAAGCATAATTTTTGATAAACCGTTACTATACGGACAGACAAATTACCAAATGTATCATTTAAAAAGAGCATATTTTTGTTTTATTAACCAGAATTATTTTTTTTACCAGAAATATCCTTATCATACAATACGGTAATTTTAATAAAATATTTTTATCAAGCAATACATTAAATTGATGATATTTTTACAAATAATACATTAAATTGATTCGTATATTTTATTTAAATAATTTTACAGCTTAGCTAGGAAAATATAAATTTTAAGTTAACTCATAATTAATAGTGTGTATTAATAGATTTAATAAATAATTGTGCTCTAATTTGAATTATCAAAGTTCTGATTAAGTTATAATTTGAATAATTCAGTACTTGCAATTCAAGATAAAGTGAAGTAATTATGTCTAACCATTTGATTTAAAGCAGATTTAATTGTATACATGTAAGTGACGTCACGCGTGTGGAGCAAACCTGATTGGATTCTGAATCAACAAATGCCGCGATTTACATATGATAACGTCACTTGCAAGTACATAATTTTTATGACATACATTCGAAAAATATTTTTAAGCAAATTATTATGAATTTAAGCAAATTATTATGAATAGCAAGTTATTATGAATAACAAGTTATTATTTGATTAAATAGCTTTCTTAAGATTTTAAATTTTTTTTTTCATCTTTCAACCTACGGGATCTAAATTTTAACTAACCGTGGTCAGAGATGAGCAAATATTTTCGACTCCAACTCCGAAATTTCTAAATTTTCTTCTATTCCAACTCCATATCCACAGCTTTGATATAGACTAAAATAAGTTGCTTCATACATTTAATTTAGTTAAAAATTTAAGCATGTCTAGATATGATTTTTTAAGTACAAATATAGATAGTTAAAAAATTATTATTAAACACATCTACTTCACAATAAATTTAAAACTTTTAATCTAAAATATTAAGGAAGAAGATAGTATTTATGTTTATACCCATATTTTTACGTGGGTATAGACATAAATATTCTTATGACATAAATTATAAATAAACATATTATAAATAAACATAAATATTATAAATATAAAAAACGTATACATTTATTACTATTTATTAAACAATTAACGAATGAAAGGTTTTTTTACGACTCTGTTGCCGCTTTTTTATCAAATGCAACTTAAAGTTTTTTATTGTAATTTCAAATCTTCATTAAGTAGTCCATCCTATTTTTAAAATACTTTTTAATTCAGAATTTTTTCAATATAAAACAAATATTAATTAAATGATAAAAAATTCCGTTTTTTGTTTTGCAAATATAAGAACAAAATGCTAAGCAAGTATTATATCATAATTTTGTAAGTTGAAAATATATTTAAAAAAATTGTGAAAAAATTGGTACATTCGAAGTTTATTAACTTTTGGAATAAAAAGCTGATTATAACCCCAGAGACGTCACAAAAAGTCGGTAATTCAAATATATTTTTGATTGATTATTTGTTGATTAAAACAGATCTTTTATCATTTTAATTTTTATGCTTACATTATACACAGTTTTCTTCTCTGTAGTAAATATAAACAGTTTCCTTTAGCTCTTCTCTATCGCGTACAATTACGCTTGGCAGTAAAGTTTCAAAAAATGTGAAATGCTTTAATATTCCTCAAAATTTTAAATATATATTACAATATCTTGCAACTATCACCGAAATTCCAGGAAAATGCAAAATAAAGCACAAGTAGGAACATATAAAGTAGTAAGTGAGAACATATAAAGTAAGGAACATATAAAGTGAAAAGTCTTGTACTTACGAACATCTTGCAAAAATGATTGAAAAATATTTTTATAATTGAGTTGTCAAATTAGAAAAGAGGTAATTGAAGCGTAAATAGTGGGATATATTTTAAAACACTGAAATATAGAGCAGCATTTTATTTGATCGAATGGTAAGGTAATTTGCGCAAGGTAATAATGCATTATACTGGATAATTCAAAGTTTGTAATTCATAAAAGGCCAAAAATTAAAAACAACATTTTAGTTTGATGATTTCAGAAAAATTAATAACTTTTATTGAAAATCAATAATTAAATATTGGAGGAGGTTGTTAGTTAGTTATAAAATTTTTAGTCACGGATTTACCCGAATTGGATTTGCACGTAATAAAAATATTTCTTCTTTTAACACATAATCACATGATTTTCATAATACATAATTGTCATAATTTCATTATAAAAATTTTAAAAAAAGCAACAAAAAAATGCTAATAAAATAATGCTGATACAAAACATTGAAACTAATATTATCGTCAAATAAAGCAATATTGATAAATAAATATTAATAAATACAATTGAAATACTTTTGAAAAAAGTTTTCAGTATATTCTTACGCTCCCCGGAGGTAATACGATAAGTATTTATTAAAACATATATAAATTACAGAATTGCATAGAGAATGGAAACGATGCAACTTTGGTAAGCAAGCAAAAAAAGCTGCATGGAAACATATTTAATACAATTAACAATTCACATTAAAAATAACTTCAATTTGGGCTATAACGAATACACAAAAACGAACATCAATAATTTTTTAATTACGTTTGTTTGTAAGTAGTTTTTGACTAAAAAAAGAAATTTACTTACTATCTGATCAGCTCAATTGAATCTGAGAAATAGATACAACTGTGATGAAATAGGTCTTTAAAAATCATTGCTCGACATTTATGCCCTCTAACGGGAAAAGTATTACTGCGTGTGGGAAAATAACACTTAGGGGTCTGGAATAAAATCTAGTAAATCTGGAATAGGTAATAGGGGTAAATCTGGCGGAATGGGGGTCGTTTTGGGAAAAGAGTATAGATCTTGATTTGGTTAAATCTGTATTATTTAAGCTTACCTTGTACAAGTTGTGATGATATTTTAAGTACTAAAAATGTTGCTTAAATAATTCTTTTAAAACATTCTCAACTGTAAGTCTTTTTATCCAAATATTCATTGATTTGATTCAAACTATGGAGTGAAGTTTCATTTTTAAATTACTTAATAAAACTTATTTACGTCATCTTGAACTGGCGAATGGATAAGATAACCGTAAGAAGATCAAAGGGGGAGCGGGAGGTTAGGGAGGTTCAGTCTTAATGGCAAAAAAAAAAATACTAATAATTATGACTTCATCTCTTTTAAACATTTTATTGAAGTATTATTACAATTAACATCAATAAACATTTCCTTTATATTTAAACATTTAAAAAATAAAATTGCATTCTCAATAAATATTATATATTGAAATGTAAAAGAAAAGTTAAATTCCATCCTTAGTAATCATCATGTCTTGAAGATGTAATAAAAATCTTAATTCTCCCTAATCCTCATGTTTTATGCCACTAAAATAAAAATTATACTCCATACTTAATAAATGCCTTAAATTAAAGTAGAAATAAGTTTAAACATTATTTTTTTTAATAATTATAAAGTATGAAAGACAAAGAAAATAGAAATTCCGTCCTCATAAACATCATTGAAATCCATTTTTTTAAAATATCACTGGTTAAATTAGAAAATAATTTGAAAAATCCATCTTAATAAAACATTAAATCCTGAAAACTTCTTCCTTATTAACCATCACTTATTGAAATATAAAAATATTGAAAATCCGTTTTTTTAAGTATCATATACAAATTTAAAACAATTGAAAACTACATTCAAATTAATCACCATAAATTGAAGTAGTTGATAATGTTACAAATCCATCCTTATTAAACATCAAATATTGAAGTACAAAGAGAAATTCAAACTTCACGAGTATAAATCATCAGAAACTGAAGCATAAGGAAATATAACTAAACTCCATAATTATTGGATATCGCAGATTGACGAAAAAATCAGAGCTGAATCTTTGCAAATCATCATGGATTGAAGTACAAAAAAAATAAATTTCTATTGCAAAATGTTACGCGAAACAAGAAGCAGATTAAATTATAATTTATACATAAATTAAAATGTTTGTATAAAAATAATGTAAATAAAAATTTTATCTGTATAAATAAAAATTTAACAATTAAAAAATTGTTGGAATATATTCAGCTTCTCTTTAATTTCAAGAATCTGTGTAACCTTCAAATGAATAAAAAAAATCTATCAAATCTATACTCCTTTATTAACATCATGAACTTAATTGAACTCCCATTTGAACTTAAGTGCCATAACTTGAATTAAGAAAATTTTTAATGTTATTTTGAAAAGCAAGTTCGTAACATTCAGCAATTCTCAAAATTAAGAGTTGCAGTACAATGAAATTTTAAAATGCGAAGCTTAATAACTATTTTTCTTTAATTTCAACTGAAAAAATAAATCTAAAAGCAATTTCTCAAAAAACGCATACCTTATATGTAGTATATTTTTAGTATAGTATAAAAGAATACTATAAAGTTCGACGTTATTAGCGTACCATTGCAGATTTCGGTATAAGTTTAGAACTATATAGAACTGATATACTTGTGGCTATATGAATTATGTGGCTGATCATTTTTACTGATTTTTTTTGATGATGCTTTTAAATAGCAAAATGTTTAAATAATTATAAAATAAAATAGAACAAAATCTCACATAATTAGGGATTAGGATATTATAGTTGATCTATTATTTTGGGCTATATTGCATAATTTCAATTATATTGCTATATTATAATTATAAATATATCTGATTATAAACCTTATAAATTTTAGATTTCAAACTCTTTACATAATTACAGTTTTTTAAAACGGAGTACTTGTTTTCTTTAATTTGTAACCTGATGGATACAAATTACCATGACTAATTTCACTTAAGATTTTTCAAGTATTTAATCTTTTAATTTCGTTAAGTTTTTAACTTTCAACATGCTTCTACTTTACTTTAAACATCCTCATTGTTTCTTCCACAACCAGGTTTTTGACGGAAAAAAACCCAATCAGAAAACTAAGAAAAGGATTGAAAAATAAATAACTGTTGTAATAACTGTATATATAATTATTTTTGCATTTCTCAAACATTAATAGTGAACTTTATATAATTGATAAATATTTTTATTTTAATAACCTATCTTTCCTTTAGACCTCTTATGACTCTCCCGTTTATTAGTAAAATATTGTTCTGCAACGACCTCCCTTAAGATGTATATTACGGAATCTTTGTTAAAAAACATCTGTAACCAATCGAATTTCTTGAAAAATCAATGTATACTAATTTTCATGTTTCTAATTTGAAATGAATAAAACAGAATGTCAATGAAATTGATCCAAAAGATCTTGAAAAAAGATAATTTTAAAATGCAACTTGTTAAAAATTTCATTTCTGAGAAACTCTCTGATCAAATTCTGCAAAATTTAGTTTAAATTTTGTAATGATACGTTATACCTTACAATTTTTTTTTCTAAAACTAATAAATAAATGACTTAAAAATATTAAGTTTCAGAATGCAAAATGTTTTAATTCTCTGGAATAGCTCCAGACATTTAGCGAACCAAACAAACAGTTAAACTAATATTAAGGGACTATTTACTTCAGATCGCTCTCCTGATTAACTATTGAATCGATATTTTCAACATTGCACCTCCCATAGCATTCGCCTCTCAATGAGTTGTCCCAGGTTCGAATCCCAGCAATGGCTGGTTGATGCGAATTTTGCACCCAGATTTCATCAACCACAGAGCTGACGTAAAATAGCCTCAATGGTAAACGGGTAATAAGTCAGAATCCCCTTGCCATCGGGCTAACCGTGGGAGGTTCTAGTGGTTTTCCTCGCCATGCCAGGCAACTGCGAGGTAGTTCAACCAAAAAGTCCTCCACGAAAATTAATTTCTCCCAATACTTGATCCAGGTTTTTCTTTTTTCATCTGGATTAGGTTCAAAATTACAAAGCTACGGAATTGAACATTGATAGTCGTAAAATCCAAATTGGGTCAGCTGTTCGTCGACGGTTATAAATGAAAATATGGCTGATTAAGCGTCATAAAAAGTTTTAGTGTCTGATTCCATAATTTGAAATATCGTTCACACAAATTAACACAATTAGAATATTAAAAGTTAGACCATCGAATCACAAGTATTGCTTATTAGCAGGTGAAAACTCTTATCACTAGATCAAGATAAGGTATAGCTTATTTATTTATTTCGTGCAATCAATTTAAACAACTATTTGTTTCCTATATTTTTTAGAATATTTTGATGACTTTAAAAACAGAAAATANTCATTTCAACATTGACTACAAAGAGGGGAAAGCCATGACGTCATTATCAGTTTCAGGTGGATGAGAACCCTCTTGCACTTGATGTAAAGGTGGCCGGTAAGCAATGCTGACCACATTGTAAAAATCATGCCGTCAGTCATGAAATTTGGAAGCATTAACCACCATGACCCTTTTGACTCCACAACGGGCTGTTGCAGGAATAATTTTTTCGGAACGGCGGAGCTAAAAACTTCAAATCTAGCTTTATTGGTGAACAAAGCCGAGATATGATTTAATATGTCTCCGAGTTTCCTCATGCAATTAAACTGGTTTTTATATTTTTCATATCTTCTCATTTAAAAATTACTTTGCGTCTCTAAATGTCTAGATGTTTTATTATTTCGTTATTATTAGAAAATATCGTTTTGAAGAACAATTCCGTTCATATGTGTTAAATTTTAAAAATATTTTTGTAACATTTAGATGAAAATTTGTTTTTTAAAAAAAACAGAAAAATAATGAAAGTAAAATTCAATAATAAATCATTCCTATCCAGCATGAGTGAAAGATGTTTTATTTATTTTTATTTATTTTCTATTAATCTTAATGGACGAGCAAAACACATTATATGATGTTCAATAAGAAAAAATAATAATTTCCATAGCATAAAGTTAGTAAAAGTTATAGGTTTCATTTAATCATGATATTGCTTATTGTCTAATTAAATCAATATAACCATGTTCGTGCTTTCAATGTTATTTAATATATAGAATAAAAGCTTAAGACTAAATTATATTATTTGTATTCTTACAAAATCAGGACTGTTAATCAATTTAATTTCAAAAAATTATTACGTTTTTGATTTTAAGACTTGTAAAATAAATTATAACTTCATACTGAAAATTATAACTTTCGCATTTTAATTACTTTGTACAAGAATGGATAAATATTTCAAAAAATCATAATTTAATTTAAAAAAATCAAAGAAGAATGATTTACTGTCTTTGTTTTTAACATTATTCATAATGGAGATTTAAGAAAAAAACTTTTCAATCTCTTTTTTAAAATAATATTTGTAGTAGATAAATATGATTTTGGCACTCAAAATAGTTTTACTTTCAAATTATTTTTCAAAGAGATGATAAAAAGAAATCCAAATCATGAACACACATTACAGAAATCGAATTATTTTCAATATAATTGATAAAAATATCCGTCATTTGTCCCACCAATTTCACGTAAACAAGATTCGACTGTATATCATTTTTAGTACGATTAAAGTATGATTAATGTCGTATTTTTCACCCTTTCAAAAATTCGACGCCATCATTGGAAAAGTGCTAGATATAATTATCTCCACAGGTACATATAAACGCCTTATGTAAAAAAAATATTTATTGTTAATACCCACATTTTCTTATGTGGGTATAAACGTAAATATTCTTATGACATAAATTATAAAAAAAAGAGATTGTAAATAAACCTAAATATTATAAATATAAAAAACATATAC